CTTTCTATCTATCATGTTATTTATCAGTAGATAGTGGTCGATACTTTGTTTTATGAGTTATACTAGATAAAGGGATGTTTTATTTTTATTCTTTTAATTGACAGAAGACAACCCTTTAACTGATGAAGTTGTAGAAAATGAAGTTGTTCATCGTCTTGTCGAATTCCTTGCAAGGACTGATTATCCCGAGCTTCAGGTTTTCGTATTATATACTTTATGGGCTTCATTTCAGTGATTGTTTTATAAATTTATCACAAAACACATAATAGACTTACAAAGACCTAGACAAGCAGAGTGGGTCTTTGGGGAGAAGCAAAGATGTAGGTTTATTTCTGATATATGGTTTTTTCCTATTGCCATTGTACTTCTTCAGTGCAAGGCAGCCTGTGTTCTCAAAAATATGGCTGCTGGAACATCTGAAAACACCAAGATTGTAGTTGACTCTGGGGCTGTCCCTGTATTTGTGAAGCTTCTTCAATCCACAGAACTCTATGAGCAGGTGTACCACCAGGGGTTGTAAATTTTTATTCTTACTTCATTGTGTTTTTTTTGGAGTTACCATGTGTTTATGTTATTGTATTTATTCCCGTAACTTTCTCGAATTATTTGGCTTAAATTGCTCATTTTTGTTCTTTTTCGGTCATTGTCGGCTTGCCATTCAGGCTGCATGGGCTTTAGGAAATATTTCTGGTGATTCTCATGGATGCCGTGACGTTGTTCTGAACAATGGAGCGTTGCAACCTTTGTTGACTCTGTTAAAAGAGCATACCCATCTCTCTTTTCTCAGAATTGGTACATGGGCCTCGTCAAATTTTCTTGAGGGAAAACCTGAAGTCCCACCTGAGCAGGTTGAATGTTTGGCACTTGAAAATTCTTTGTGATTTGTTATTTAGAGCATTTCTGCCATTCTAAATGGATATTCTGTGTGTTAAGTGTAGCTCGAGTCTGCAATTCCCATTCTTTCATCTGTCATCCTCACAGAGGATGAACTGGTCCTGAAGGAAGTATGTTGGGCCTTATTTTATCTTTCCAAGTTTGGAGGTGGAATAGAAACGACCATGTTTGAAGCTGGATTGTGTGACAAGATTACTACAATATTCCGGTATGTAGACTTCTGTTCTGTCTTTTTCTTACAAGTTCGTTGCCTAATGTTTTGCTTATTCATGTCCAGTCTTTGTTTCTTGAGTTGTCTATTTACCTCTTCAGGTATGTTCCTTCAACTGTGCTGTTCCCTGCTGTTCGAGCGCTTAAGTGTATAGTGAAAGGGACTAAGAAGTTGGATGAGGTATTGGGCCTCTTGTTCTCCACTTCAAATTCTTTCTGCATGCATGAATATGGGTTATAGAAGGCTAATTATTAGAGGACAGGGTAAACACGCTTTTGTACTTACCAATTCGGGTTCTGTTTACATAAATACATTGTTTGAGAAATGAGTTTGATGATAAAGTGAGAAGATCAGCATTCTACTTTTGCTAATTTAGTTTGATTGGACATAATTAAACAATTTGTTAAGGCAAGTGTTGAGAATTAGCCCTGGACATGTGCGCAGCTATTTTTGTCAGTGATTAATCCATATAAACAAATATCTTGAGAATTCTAGAGATTTGTTGATACTGGATTATTAATTAAATATGTTTGATTGTTTTATGTTTTTTACTGGTTACTGAACATCTGAAGCTCGTCCATGCATTGATTTGGTGATACATATGAGCATATGTTAAGCCATTAACCTGGTCAGCTTTTAGATTGGTTTTCAAAACAAAAGTAATATTATCTTGCTATTACTAAATTGAGCTTATGTTGTGCCCAGCGTGCTATTGAAGTTCATCTTCGCCTAATTCGCGTATATAGGAAAGATTCAACCTCGTGCATCTTGAATGAGGCTCACGACATCAGATGTTTTCTGGATAATCGCATGTCGAGTATAGTAAACGGTGTGAAGGACGATTACAGAAAGAAAGCTCGTTTAGCTCAAGATGTGTGACATGCGAGGGTAATTTGTGCGAACCTGTTGTGATATTATTTCTCATTTTCTTCAAGTTCATGTCTGTAACAAAGTTGACTATCAGATTTATTGCTTTCTCTCATCTGGAGAATAGATTATTAATTTTCATTAATAGATTAATACATGATCTTGAAAGTAAATTCAATTTTTTATTTGTTAATGAATTAATTAAATTGAAGTTAGGATAAATACAATTTATCATTTTTAGCATTTACGAGACGTACGAGTCAACGTACAACCAGCCAACAACTATTTTTGCCTCAACGTACAACCAGCCAACAACTATTTTTGCCTCTTACCGTACATTGATTCTATGGTTGGCATACAATTTTTGATCAATTTAATTAAAACACAAACATTCCCAGCAGAAACCTTCTGTGCATAAACAAACAAACAGAAACCATTTCCAATCCATTAAACAATTTCAGTCTCTGATATGATTATCAACAGTTAAAAAAGTATACTTAAACAAACGACCAATTGACAAACATAAAGCACAAGCAATGAGTGCTATCGTCGTCATTCAAAACTTTCCATGCTACTGCTCTCTCATACGAGATGGGTCGGCTCATGCTCGACAAACAAACACCAGCGTGAAGTGATCCAAAACCCTGTTGTCACGTGAGTTGACGACAATTAATAGAAAATTCACGAAGAAAAAAGAAACTTCGAGGATCAAGCGTTACAATATTCATGTATTATCAGTTAGGTAAAGTGAAAGTGAAGGAAAAAATAGTCAGTAGTCCAAAATATTTATAATCGACTGGATGCATTGTCATCTAACGACATGTTTTTCATATTTAATATTACATCTAATATTTCAAATGCGATCGATTGACTTACCTGATGCATTATTTGAGGAAGCTCCGAGCTCAGATTTTTCCTCCCATTATCGTCAAATATTTTTTCGAGAGATATGTCCTGAAGTGCAACTAATGTTGTCTCAAGCATGTCGAGTCCAGCCTGATTCGCAAACGTAAAAACTGGCACTTCCTGGTGTAAAGGGGAAAAAACATATTAATGAAAGATATAAAAATTTAAAAATGAAAAAGAAAAAAATGTGTGCTTCAAGTTTTTACCTTCAGGGAGCAGCATAAAACAGCATCCGAATGATGCCATAAAGCTTTAAGGATGGATGATTCAGTCCTTTCACCGTCGTACTTGAGAAGCTCAGCCCCCATAAAGCTCCTATTGATAAGCAGAAAAAAATATATATATATATTTTTTTTTTCAGCTGTAGCAAAATCCCAAAAAGGTTCCAGTTGAAATACACAAATACCTTACAACTAAAGTTAAACTTTCAGACAACAGATAGCGGCACACGAGTCTTTCTCAGGAATTGAAATTTTAACTATTGAACATTATTTCCTAAAATTTTTAGTCACCAGACCAGGATTGCTCATTATAAAATTTGTTTTTCTACTTAAATGACCGAATTTGCATGAATCATTTCCTTATTGAACGTAACCTCTAGGGCGTTACCCATAAAAGAAATCCAAGATTTTTCAAATTACGTATCACTACTACAGCAATAATTGAAGGACGATATAATAACATACTTGTAACTTTGGCAAATCCAACGGGAAAAAGTTTGTGCCTCAGGAGTCCCAAGCGAGGCCCGAAGACTGGCATGATGACCTAAGCGAGTCGAAGATAAAGCCAATGCCACTCTTTGTACAGATGATATAATGCCCCTCACATATTGCCGGGCCATTTGGACAACGTTATCTTGCATGTGGCTTTCGTATGCGAACTGAAAGGCAATAGTCATGACAGACCTTGTGGTGGAGCTGCTATTTTCGGGTGTTTTATTGCCAGCTGTCCCAGTTTCAAGTGCTGCTGCAAGGTCCAACGTGAGATTTGGACTCGGGGCTTCCTATAAATTAAACATAAAGCAGACACTCACAATTATTTTGAAAATTATTTCTTTTTCAGGAAATAAAAAATGAAAAAATAGAAGTATGAGCACTCACTTTGTCAGAATTGAGAGGAATAATGCGAAAACCAGAGGGCAAAAGAGGAGCATCCTCGGAAAACGAGGAGTCAATCGGAGCAAATATGAGTTCAGCACTTGTACCCACTGCATTTTCGTCCATTCCACCACTTAACTGCGGAAGAATTTAAACAGAGGAGCACCAAAGAATAAAATACATGATGCAAAAGAGAAGTAATGAGATTTTATTTCCAATGAAAAGGTCAACTTCACCAGGTAAGTCACATCGATTACAAATCCCTCAAGGTATTAACATATCAATATCCCCATTGTTTGATTCATTTGATTATATACACAAGTGCCCATCATAACTAAATATAATTGCATTTTTGGTATTACAGAATTTTCATTACTAGCCCTGACATAAAAAGATTGAACAGAAAACAAACCCATTAGAATCAAGTCTCTCATTATTACATGATTTTGTAATTTTCAATTCTAGCCCTGAAGTTAAAAGATTGAACAGGAAACAAACCATTAGAATCAGATCTTGCATTTTCCAAGCGGAAGCTTTTGGTGAGAGCACAAAGTCTTGGAGATTCTATATCTTGAGACCAGAAATACAAATTTTCTCACATATATGCACATATATTGTATGATTGAGACATGTACCTGCAAGAGGAATATGTCCCTTGGCATCATTACATCTTCAGGTGAATTGCCAATGCCTTCCAGCTTAATTACTTCGAGAAGCTATTAACAATCATGGCAAAACATAAAACTAAAATCAAATCTTTGAATAAAGGCCAAAACCCATCTAACACAATATATTAGGCAAAAATTTAATTAGATATGGTAAATAAGGCTATCCATCAGAATGAATGGTAAGAGCAATTATATTGTGCTTGCCTCCTCATGCTCGATCGTTTGAGCCAATGGAAGGACAACTTGACCCCCAAAGTTACCAATTCGAGTCCCTAAATAACTGCACGGGCCAATTTTAACAGCAGCGGCAGAGTAAGGATCAATGTTGTCTGCCCATTCAGATCTGTGTTCCCTCAAAAATTGTAAAAGTATCGGTGGAGGAACATTCTGATGCCACGAATCAGAGTAATTGAATGAGAAATTCATTCATATTAACGACGAACATTAGAAATTTTATTTTATTTTTAAATAGAATAGTAGTTGCATGCTTAAGAGATACATTTTTTTTTTTTCAGTATGGCAGATGTTAGCCATTCTTCTTTCCAGAAAAATGTTATACATCATTTTTGAGCAAGTTCAGTCAAATATTGATCGAACTCTTTCTCTCGCTCTCTCTCTCAAGTACACACACACATACACACTCTCTCTCTTGTTTGAGTGAATAGACATATATAAGAGTAAAAACAAAAACATGGAAATGAAACTGACCTGTAAGAGCATAGATGCTTTGGCACACAACACGGAATTGCAAATGGAGGTATAACCATTTCCAAAGAAGATGTTAAATTCCACCAATTTTTCGGGATTCGGGTTTACAAGAATTGACACATCATCCACGCCATCACTGCCTATCGACGACCAACCCTCATCGTTAAACCCATTAAGAGCGTCATTAAATCCCCTGCAGAAAAAAAAATAATAATAATAATATAAAAAACACCAAACTGTAGCTAAATAAACTGACTCATGAGGAGAGTATAATAACCTAACCTGCTCAGTCGGTGGCCGAGTGCCCGCAAAGCTGCCGGCCTTCGGCCCCAATTGCCTACGTTAGACTGTGAAATGTCCTGAGCTATATGCTTAAGTTGTCGAAGGGCCTGGATTGGGAAACAAATGAGACACAAAAAGGATAAATATTACAGCCTTAATTGCAGAAACTGGCCTAGTAAATTTCAGTTTGGTCCTGTAAATATGAAACGGAGCAATTTTAACTCCAATATGTTTCATTTTCGTGTGATTTTGATGCATCGGCCACCAATTACACTTTCAATTTTCATTTATTCAGATATGGCATCAGGAATTGAAATTTTATTAAATTTTGCACCAAGAGTTAGTTATGGCACTACAATTGGAACCCAGCCAACATAAGCTAGAAAATTGTGACATTTTTTGTTCCTTTCAAGAAAAATAATGTTTCGTCGCTAAAGTAATGGTAGCGACGGAACACAAAACGGATGTCGCTAAGATTTGGCAAAAGTTATCATACAAAAAGGAAAAAAGTCGTGTTTGTTTTCTGACTTGTCGCTAGAATTCGTATAAAAAATAACACATGCAGAAAAGACAATCAAATCGCCAACGGCTTTTGTACAGTCGTCGCTAAAGGATAAAAGTAAATTCATTTAGAGACGAATTCATGTTACGAAAAGTATATTAATTACAAAATCAAGTTTACTATTATTTTGGACAAACGACATCTCACTGGAGCCAAATGCAACACTAGCCCATCTCTTATCTCTATCTAATAAGTATTTGAGAAAGTCAAAAGCAAACAAAATATACCGCCATCGTGGCCTTTTGTGCAAACATTGTTGAAGACTCGTAGAGTGGCCGCAGCACTTCAGGAACACTCCATGCCTGGTAATAATAACAATCAATAAATAAATAAATAAAAACATTTATACACAGATTTTACTGATAAATAACCAAAATAAATCAAAAGAAAACTCACATCAAAGGTTTTCATAAAATTTCATGAGAATTATTTTACCTCCAAATTCATGTGATCGACAATGTGGATAATTGACCCTCCCCCATCACAAGGTCTAATTAAGTAACCACTAGGTAAAATCTCAGCCCTCACAAAGTTCTGCACAGGTGGCATGCTTGGACCATTTTGCGTATTATTAAGAGATCTTTCACAAACCTGAATTATCACATTAGATTGCCAATTATAAAATGTTTCAAAACCAATTGAAACGGCAAATAATCTTAATAAGAGAATAAAGATTCACACATACCACTAAACTACCATCTTCCGTGACGGAGGTATAGCGCAACAGCCAAAAGTCACGACCAGGGGCCAGTGTCGTTGGCGCATAGAACTGAAAAAAACAAAAAACAAATAAAACAAATAATTCATACGCACGCTTTTGCATAATACAAATGTCAGTTGGCAAAGAAAACACTTTTATTATGAAATTAGTGAGGGTCAATAAATTGTATCAGTAAAAGGATGCTACTTGAGGACGTATAAGGGTCAAAAGGGGTACGTTTTTGCATTTCACTCCAATAAAATCACCTGCATGTATAAGAGTTCTATGGTTCCACCATCGGCAGTTGGCAGCACATTGACAACATCCACGGCTCGGCAGTCACGGAACCATGAAGTCCGATCCTTGAGGATTTCTGCAACCTGAAATTGAACAAGTCAGACAAAAAACAATTCTACTTTGAATTTGACTTCAAAAGAAAACAAAAATAATAACATAAAGGAAAATAAGCTTAGAAATTCAAAATGGAGTTAAACTTACCCTCGTCGGCTCAAGACCAACCAGACCACAAGCTCTTGCTGCCACTCCGGTGCAGCTGTGAGAAATTGCTATGATTCCAATGGAATCCGGACCAGGCTAATCCCAAATTAATTAAGAAACAAAATTATTTAATTGATGAATAATAGTACTAGTCTAATAAGTCTATTTCAGCAACTCAAAATACATTAGACATTAATTGCCAAAAGATTATTTGACCTTGGTTTTCAGACTTGACAAATCAGACATGATTTAGTTTGATTTCTTGGGTCAGTTTTAAGTCAATTAGTTAAGAAAACAAATTGAAATAATCTTAAAACCACAGCAAGATTCCATTGCATACAAACAATATCTACAAGCCTGTTTTATATATAAGCACAAAAAATAAATATTAATTGACAAATAAATTGGTCGAAGGCTCGTTATTTACTTGACATGGGAAAACTCAATAAACTGTCTATGCATATCTAAGCAAATCAAGTTTATAAACCATAAACCATAAGGATAAACAAAATTTGTTTTTTACGAATTGTAATTGCAGAAAAACCAGAGAAGGTTTCAGAAATTACAAAAACAACATTGAGCTTTAATTTCATCTCACATACTTTTCCTTTCTTTCTTAAGAATATCATAAACCCCACAATTGGCATTTTAGAAAATTCTTACACTTAATCAGAACTATAAGGGTTAACAATTTTAAAATTTGTCTGGGTCTTTCTTAAATAACCCAAACCCCAGGGTCACATTAGCAATTACCCGCAACAAACATTAAAATTTCCTCATGCATGATGACAAAACAAAAATAATTCCACATAGTTACAAAGAATTTAAAGAAACATTGTACCTTCATTCCAGGCATCTGGACCCACTCAACCGCAGTCCCAGTGGCCTTTGAAAGAAACTCTGTTAAAGTCTCCTCTGCAATGGACAAAAGGCTGGAAAAAAGGAATAAAAACACAAAATATTAACAAACAGCTTAAAAGGAAAAAAATAAAAAATAAAGATAAAAGATAAAAAGAACACACATCACAAGGTATATTCACAAAGAATGATAAAGACATATGTACTCTTATCCCATCAAGAAAATGACACAACAACAACAGGGCCCCATGAACTCACCCTGCAGGACTTGCATCCCTTGGCCTCATGTGTTGTTGTTGTTGACCACTCGTCACCACTGATTCACAGCTTGTGTCTTTTGTAGCTAGTGCTTTCTGAGAAAAAAAGCAAGAAAAAAAAAATATCATGTTGGTTTTTCTTTAGAACCCATCTTAAATCTCTAAAGGGGACTGTTCTGCAAATGTTGAAAAATAAATAACAATTTCGGCTGACTAAGTTTGTCTCGCCCCGAGCATTTTCCATTTTCTTATTATAATTTCATTTTATCATAGAGTGAAATGTGTTTTAAACATCGGCTTTTTTATGCCTTCATTTGTTAATTTTTGCTTCTAATTATGCATGATTTTGTCCTGAGGCAGGTTGTTTATAATTCTGATTGAAATTGTAAGAAGGAATCCTACAACATATTTATAAAGCTTGGTCTTTTGAATTATTTAATTGGAAGTTTCTACTCGTGATAATTCTTTACTAGTTTGCTGTAGTGTATCAAATTCTCCAAGAGTAGAAGGTTTAAAAATACACACTCTCGACAACACATTCATTTACATTCTGATTAAGTTATGCAGACACAATCACACAATCATGAAAAATTTAATATGATTTGGTATTTGTAATCACTAAATTAATTATTCTATTTATTTGGTTTCATTTCCAGTAAGAACCTAGCAATCGTTTAATAAAGTAAATCTATGAATACACTCCCTAATGATCATGGAAAATTAAAGATTAAAGCAACACTCTCTATACTGGAATTAAAGATGCAAAGATCAAAACACAGGACATTATATCAGAAAGGGGGAGTTTACGAGACTTCTCACGTTTGGATCTTGTTGACGAAATTGTCTGCTTTCAAAAACTAAGTGTGAGACTTGCTTTTGTAGTCTATCATTCTCCTCCATCAACAGCTTATTCATGGCTGATAGCTTCCTATTTACACCTTGAAGCCTTGATGCCTCTTTCCTTTGCTTCTCTCTGCATCTGTGTTTTCCAAAGCAAAGGAAAGCAAAACAATAAAAGAATTACTTAAATTAGAACTTACCACAAAAACAATTTCATTTCTATACACAATGAAAAAAAACTAAAAAGATCCACAAAACCCAGAAACAGATTAAAAAAATAGAGAGAGAGGAGAGAGAAAAGAAAAAGAAAAAGCTCCTTGGGATTAATAATTCTGCAAAAACTATCAAATTCAGTTATCAGATCAATGGAATTTCAAAATTAGCATAAAATAATGGAAATTTGAATCTCCAAATAATAATAATAATAATAATAATAATAATAATAATAATGATTTTCAACCTCTTGATTGACCAAAAAAATGGCCTTCCTGCAAAACACCTTTGAGTTGTTCATATCAGTTGAAACCATAATTTTTCCGCTCATCAATTATATAGAAAAGCTCAGTTTTTTAACATTCACATGCAAAAAAAATTCCCTCAAATAAATGAAAATTTTGCCATTGACCCCAAAATGAGAACGAAAACTTTTCTGAAAAAATGGCATGAAAAATGATTACGAACGGATTCATCACCTTCTGTTCTGGAACCAGACCTTGATCTGCTTTGGCTCGATGTTGGACAAAATGGGGCACTCACGGATGAGCTGCTGACGGCGCATAGAGCTCGGTTTTGGGCACTCGTGATACACCCGCTCGAGCGCCTCCACTTGCTCTGGCGTGTACCTCACGTATTTGCCATCCACGCCGCCGTCCTTGTAACTAGCCATTGCCATCTCCCACAAAATTCACACTCTGAATTTTTCTTTGTTCGTCCTTTTTTTTTTCTTTTAATTCAGCTCAAGCAATTGTTCAAACACTTGGTAGGCAGTACAGATTTTTTTTTCCTTTTTTTTGGGTAGGCCTCAGTATAAACTTGCTCTAGTCTGGTCTACTGATTTTCTGATTTTATGGGCACAAAACATGAATTTCATAAATTTTTAATAAATTAGGAAAGCAAGAAATCCCGGGAGTGTGTTCAGATACAGTTGAAATCAGGCGGTGGTATTATCCAGTACCAAACACTAGAGAGGACAAAAGGTAAAAATAAATTTAAAAAACCAAAAAAAAAAAAAGAAAAAAAGGACAAAATAACTCACCAACAATAATACACCAGACAATTTGGATGCTAGGAAAGGAAAAAATGAAAACAAACAAAAAACTTACATAATTCAATAATCTCTATTGTTCTACATAAAAACCAGATCTATATAGTCTGTCTCAAGAACATATTAAGCAAAACCCAGCATAATTAACAATACAACTGCTACTCCAATCGGGGGAAAAAAAAAATCTACAAATTCTCTAAAAATCAAAACTTTGTTTGATCAATGGATAAATTTCCATGCATGTGCTCTAGCATATATTTGTATCTACAACATAATCACAGGAAAATCGAAAAGGGTTTTGAAAAAAAAAAATAGAAAATAAAAGAATCTATGGGTGATGACATTGAAAATGGAAGAGGGATTAATTGGTGGAGGCTATTTTACTATTCTGGATTGGTCTTAACTCTTTAATCCTTTGGAGTTTGGATATGGTTTTCAAGGCTTACTGTTGTTTTCCTTGTTAAAGGTTTTACTACTTTTCACTTGGTTATTTGGTTATTTTTAATTTAATGTTTGTATAGTGTATGAAGGGGTGGCACAAAATTTTCTGTGATACTAATGTGTGTGATGGCGTGATGCAAATACAGAGACTTGAACTGGATTCGGAATATTTTATGAATAGTAATTTCTGTCAGGACAGTATTGTCCTTCCTCTTGGTCAGCACTACTGACTGCACGTGAGAATAATTGCTTGGGAGTCGGAATGTTTATCATCATATTTATAGGATGTTACTATTTACCACCTCTTTATTGTTATGGACCGTTCTCTTGGACAATTTTGTTTCTGTCATTTTTTCAAAAATTTCATAAAATTATAAAATCCTCTGTACTAGACGACTTCCGGCGGAAAAATGTCTTCCGACGAGGTGCGTTTTCCGACCGGCCAGTCGGCATTTTTTTTTTTTAAAAAAAAATTATATTAGTAGAAATTACTATGTTATATATTAGAATTGATTATGTTATACATTATAAATTAGTTACTATGAAGTTATTAAATTCCTGAAAAATCATAAATTAGGCAAAGTTGGTTTTATGGCTATAAAGCTTGATATAGCTGAAGCTTTCGATAGAGTGCAATGGGATAGTGTGAGACTAATTATGCTTAAACTTGAATTTCATTCATCTTTTGTGTTGTAGATAATAACGTGCTTAACAATTGCTCTTTCTCTTTTAATATAAATGGTGATGTCTGTGGTTTTGTTTCCCCTTCTAGGGGGCATAAGGCAGGGTGACCTTTTGTCACCTTACATTTTTATTGTCATTTCTAAAAAAATTTTCTCTTCTCATTAAATGTGAAGTGATTAATGGCAACTTGAAGGGTATCAAGCTTACTAAAAACAATCCCTCCCTCACCCACCTTTTCTTTGTTGATGTACCCTCTTTTTTACAGAAGTTGATATAAATCAAAACAAAACTCTGACCGTTATTCGTAAAAAATACCAAAAAAATTGCTAAAAGGTTAACCTTGACAAATCTTCAATCTTCTTCTGTAAAAACACTCCTCAACCTGTCCAAGATAGAATTTGTTCTATTATGATGGGAATCACTGCCCAAACCTCTTCTGAATACCTTGGAATACCCTTAGGGGTGGGAAAATAAAAAACATAAACATTTTCTTTTATGGTAGAATCTGTGGAAAAAAGAATATTAAATTGTAACAATAGATATCTTTCCTTTGCATGTAAAGAAGTTCTTCTCAAGGCAGTCCTTGGAGCTCTGCCAACCTACACCATGTCCTGCTTCATTCATCAAAAATCTGTCATCAAGAAGATCTCTCAACCATTTTCCAACTTCTGGTGTGTAAAGAAGATCAATCAAAATAGGTCTACACTGAAAATCTTAAAGTCAACTTATATTGCCCAAGGACTATGGTGGTTTAGGATTCCATGATCTGCACATTTTCAACAACGCCCTGATTACCAAACAACTTTAAAGTGACACAACCAAACCTCCTGGTCAGTAATATTCTCAAATCCAAATACTTTCCTAAAGATAATTTAGTCACTGTTCTTGGATGTGAGCAAGTTGGCTGAAGCTGAGAGAAACCTTTTACTGTTGGCTGAGTTGTGAGATCAGAGATGGAAAATCAACTAAAATCTAGAAACATCCCTGGGTCCCAAAATCTTCCTAATCTCAAACCTACAGGTACTAATCACAGAATCAAAGAACTCCCTGGGTAAAAGATCTTTTGGATGAATCTGGAAGATGGAATAAAAGACACATTGAAGACTGCTCATCTGCTGAAGAAGCCAATGCTATTCTATTATTGAAGGTCTTGACCCTCATAATGCAGACAGACTTACATGGGCAAGGGAATTTCTCAGAATCCTCAACATATGCAAAGCTTATGGAGCATAAATGGGGGAAGCTGGACTTGGAAGAGACCAGTAGCAATCATAAACAGAGAAAGAGGCTAGAAGGAGAAGTTGGGGACTGAAAATTCAAGGGAAAATAAAAACATTTCTTGTGGAAAAGGGTAAACAGTATCCATCATGTCAGCTGCAACCTTCAAAGTAAAGGTATTCCAACTGATATTATTTGCAACTTCTATGGTGAAGCCCTTGAAACCCAAGAACACTTGTTCTTCCAGTGCAGTAGAGCCATAACAATCTGTAAACTCTCACCTTTATATTGGGATGGACAACAAGGGGACACTGATTGCTTCAAAAGTTGGAGGTACAAAATCTTTTCACTCAACAAGGATGATACCTCATTAAAATGAATCCAGCTTCTAGCCTACACTCTTTGGTAGATTTAGAAATCTAGAAGCCTCTGGGTGTTCCAAAGCACTTACAGGTCTGAAATGGCCACTGTAAAAGTAGCTTTTAAAGACTGGTGTTTTTTTTTTTCTTTAGTTTAGCTTTATAGTTGTTAACCTGCTAGGGTCCTTCCGAGATCAATGGTGTGTTAACTTTGTTGCATGCTTTTGTATTATCCTTTTAGTTGTTTTTTAGGTTAGGAGTACTGTGCAATACCTCAGGTTCTTTGCTCTTGACATTGTCGGGTGCTAGCTCATTACTCCCTTTCTTTTTTTATTTGTTCCTTTTGCTTAGTTGGACACATTTGGTGATCCTTTATTCGGCCTTATAGCTTGTATAGCTTGTTAGCCCCCAAACTCTATTTTCCCGTTTCGAGTTATAAATTATGTCATATTGAAAAAAAAATGATTCTCTGAGGAAGATTACAAAAATTTTTATCATACCATCCCAAATAATATTTCATAATTTATATCCAAAAAATTGCTTATTTTTCTATTATACAGAAGGATGGCCTAGTTATTTTACATAAGGCTTTTTCTTATTGAACGACTAAGAAATTGAATTTATTGGACAAAATACTAATTCTTTTTACTTTAAACACTAGTGTATATTCTTAAATCATGGGTATATTGTCTCATTTATGTAATGGGGTTACAGTTCTTTGTTAAGAGTTATCTATTGTTACATACGTGTAGAATTTAACGAGTTGTTTTTCTGTAAGATGAATATGTCACATAATGTGTTGATGAGTAGTTCTTTCTATAAGATGAATATGTGACATAATGTGTTTATGAATTCAAGTCCCATCCTCAAAGATACAACTACTACGTCTCAGAAGCAGTAGCACAAACTTTTGAGTGTCTGTGAAGAAAGCAAGCACAGATCTAAACTATATATATTATGCGTGAGACTTGCAGATAATCAAGAGTTTCAGATGATGCAGAGTAATGTTCTGCAGCCCTAGTCCAGAGCAAGAACTTTGCAAATAATTTTGTAGCACAATGATTATAGAGAGCTAATGTAACGCCCCGTTATTTTTAAAGAGAAAAATACCGAATATTTTTAAAAATCAGAGTTAATTTTTCGCAAATCAATTTAAAAATTTATTTAACGGGCATTACTCAAATTATCTCATTTAATCAGTTTAAGCCAACACTTAAACAACCGAGAAAAACAACCATCTCAAATAAACATCTCATGCCAACAATAAACATGCCTCCATAATTATTCAAACATAAGAATAATCCCAATAGATAATTCCAAGACAATTATCCAGGTTCATAATTAAGCATGCATAAAAAAAAATCAAATACATGGTTCAGTCTCCAATAATATTAACATGTCCGACAACGAGATAAATGATAAATAAACAAGCGGAAGCAGTAACAGCTCAAAGACAACAAATAATATGACCCTGCCTCACTCGTCTTTCGCCACGGCCACCAGCTCAACCTGAAAAGGGGGAATTAGTGGGAGTGAGCAACCAACATGCTCACTGTGGGAATACCATGCAGTATAATCAATATAATGACTTTAAATTATAATCTCAACATGTAAGCAAATCGACCAGTCTACCTCCCTAACAGCCCTACGCTCATATGATCACATCTAAACCGTCGGAAAAAACCGATCAACGGGAGCTAAACCGTCGAAAAAACCCATCAACGGGAGAATACTCTCTATAGGCTAAAGGTAAGAGAACGTCGGAAAAACCCATCAACGTGAGAACCGCTCATAGACTAACGGTTCACATGCATATATTGATTATCAAACCAATCAATTATATCAATTAACATATACGGTAAGGTTTATCAACACCCACCAGATTAGACGAAGGAGGCGAGATTGCGATAATCAGTTGAAGGTAGGCAGAGGCTCGACTCTTCGTTAATCTACAGTCAATAATATTTATCTTATTATACTAGGTGATAGCAGATAAGCAGACAAGGCAGATACAATCAAGAAAAAACTAACATTGACTGACTGGACTGATCTACCCGGCCATAGCAGTTATCACAAGAATTCTAAAAATAGAGGCTATTATCCAGATTTAAGGGCTCATAAAAACTTTAAGCTATTTTCACATACGAAACCCTTAAAGTCTAAAAGTCACATAAAATCACATACATATCAAACAAGGCTAAAACTTGACCAGCATGGTCACAACTCATACAAAAATTGCTCACAAAAGTTCCAAATCAAAAACATAAGTATAGGCTGAGATATTTCAATTCCAAGGGCATACTAGCATGCTGAAGGTCATACATTTTTAATTCATTCATTTCACATCATATGAAGCTGAAATTGCAATAAAAATTATATTTCAAAAGCATAACCATAAGGTGAGATACAGTCATTCAGAGCAACACCTAAATCGCAGAATTGGCAATGACTGACACACCTAAGTTCAATATTTTCTACAGCATGTTAAACAAGTCCAATGAGGCTGAAATTTTGAATTGAACATTATCAACTTACACATGAATTGACCATAAAAGTTTCAAATTAACAGGATATCAATAGGTAGGACAATTCAAGGTCACAAGTCAACAATACTACACATAATTCACTTCGAACAAAACCTCAATCAACGATTTTTATAGAATTCATTTCAAGTCCAAAAATTCTGAAATTTCACAGGCATATCACCAACATAACCATTAATCTACACAAATATTTTCATAATGTTTTGGACTCATTTTCTAGGGAAAAAATCGATTCAACCGTGGTGCAATTTCATAGATGCCAAAATCTCAATCATGTTTGTATCAAGGCATATACTCATGAACTCAAAGTCAGCATCAATTTACTGCAATAACACATAATAACACACATATAATCTCATCATTCTCAGCCATAAATCAAAGGTAAAAGGGCTTTGCTCATTACTTATCACCGGCTTAAAAACGAAGGAAATGAAGACTTGAGTTTGGGATTGACTACTCTTGTGCTTGCTCGGCTATTGGTTGTTGGCTAGAAGAAGACCTCTAATGATGGATGGTCGAGCTCAAGTGGAGAAGGGACCTCTGGAATGGCTCAAAGGTCCACAGCCTTCTCTGCTCTTTCTCTCTCCCAGCTAAAGAAGATGATTGAAATTTTCTATGGCTGGGAGTTATCTTTCTCTTGCGGTTTTTTTATGGTGTGAGGAATGAAGAGTTGAGAGGGTTTATGGGAGTTTAAAACGTGGGGAGAAGGCGGGTTTAAATTATTGAATGGGATAGGAAAGGAGGTACCGAGTCTTTAGGCATTTGTTGAAGGTGTTGTTGAGTCTTCTGTGACTTTTGTCCAAGCTTAGTGTGGCTAAGAGTGTGAGGGATTGAGGTGGCGTGACTTAGTCACAATATAAATTTCAAAAATTGAAGATAAGCTGAGGGTGAGCTAGAGCCGAGACTCTTAAGGTGCTAGGCTCCGTTTTGAGAACAAGTCCTTTAGGACTTAGCAAAATTTTAAGACTTAGGCAAGAAAAATAGAACTTAGGCAAAAAATTATTACTTCGGCTAATTTTCTTAGGCTTTAGAACAAAATCGGTTTAGGCTCCAAAATAGAAAATGGCCGAACTTAGCCTGAATTTTCGAAAATCTTTGGCATGCTTAACTTAGTAAACTTAGGATAATAAAAATAAACGAGCAATCAATTAAGAAATCTAGGACGAATAATAAGGAAAAATAAGCAATTAAAATCACATGAGCAATTAATAAAAATAAACGAGCAAACAGTATAAATAATGAACCGAAGTCAATGATCAAATAAAAGCAAATAAATAATCACATAAAACATGGAATATTCTAATAAACGAAAGTGGCACTACAGCTAAACTCAAGGCCCAAGCCCAACACCGACCAAGGCCACCTAAGTCCAATTTCCATGTATCCAAGTCTAAGGTTTAAGATCAAGGTTGAAGACAAAGCCCTACAGCAGAGCCGAGCCGGCCAGCAGGCGCATGTGCGCGTGTGTGGCCCAAGCCAGTGCTGCACCTACATTTGGTGCATAATTTTAGTTATTGTTGCGACATCTACAACCCTCTTTAATATAATGAGTGTTATGAGAGAACCAATGTGTGATAGGTCTATTCACCTTTCGAATTTGAAAATCATCGGTTTACGTGTTCATTAAATGACTAACTTTTAATAATTTATTTTTTGCTCACAAAAATCAATTTTGAGAAAATAAATATACCACTATTATCTATTTGGAATGCAGATTTTTCTACATAATTTAATTCGACAAAAAATAAATTTTTAGCCATAAAAAAAATTAGTCAAAATCATGACAAGCCCATTTTTTTATATTGATTATTCTAACTATTTTTAATTTTAGTTTTTTTTTTTGAATTTGACTGTAGACATCGAAATTCTTAATATTTTATTAATTGATATCTTTATTTATTTGGAGATAAATTGAAGAAAAATAAGATATATAATTAATAAAGTAATTATTTCCTGTCCACCAAGTCAAATCATAGGATAAAGAAAAATCTTAGGATATGAAAAGAAATTATATCACATCATGAAGGACTAATCAAATTGATGTCTTCTTCTCCAATACTCTCTTTCATACACTTATAAATTGAGGCTCCTCCAAAACAAAAAATGACACCTCATAAATTAAAATCTCAAATCTAAGAGCTCTAAAAAATTCTTCAATGTTTGAAGAAGTTCTCGATGATCCAAGGGCACTC